AGACATGCATTTCTGCTGAATTTGTTGTTGCTATTCTATCTCTCAGTGTTACAATAGACCGAACATTCGATTTTTGGACTGATAATTTCTTTGTGAGTGGGCAAACATTCAACATCAGGAGGGGATCAAATACTTATTTCCTTCACTGTATGTCACTTTGTGCTGATCAGTCTGATACATCATGGAATGGCACTCTATGTACTATTCATGGAGATGTTATCAGTTATAAACTGCAACATTTCTTCTACTTTTGTCTATATTGGGCGTCCTGCTGAATTGATACAAATACATTGTAAATGTGGATTAGGATGAATAGTGTGCTTTGTGTGTCGCTCTGCACAGATGGAGCATGTTGTAATGCAGAATCTGGATAATAATGCGATTAAGCAGTAAATGGCTCAGCATAATTGATGCAGTAATTGTAACTATGGTATTGCAAGATGACAAATGAGTAGAGGGCAGAAATCTAGACCAGCCATTCAACAGATGTCTCTTTATAAAAAATTCAGTACTTTGTATTAGGTAGGCTATGAGTCGTCCATAATGTCATTGCTACCATTGGACAGTCGTTGACCATTAGGCTCATTAAGCTCACCCTGAGCCTTGGTCAAACTCTAGGTCAAAAGTGCATAATGCAGAGTGCAGGGCTCAGGAGTGCGTAATGTGCAGAGTGCATAGGGTCAGAGGTGAGTAGTGCGCAGAGTGCAAGGGTCAAGAGTACAAAATGTGCAGAGTGCAGGGGCCAGGAATACGCAATGCACAGAGTGCATGGGGTCAGGAGTGCATAATGCGCAGAGTGCAGGGGGTCAGGGTGCGCAGAGTGCAGGGGGTCAGGAGTGCGCAGAGTGCAGGGGGTCAGGAGTGCGCAGAGTGCAGGGGGTCAGGAGTGCGCAGAGTGCAGGGGGTCAGGAGTGCGCAGAGTGCAGGGGGTCAGGAGTGCGCAGAGTGCAGGGGTTCAGGAGTGCGCAGAGTGCAGGGGTTCAGGAGTGCGCAATGCGCAGAGTGCAGGGGGTCAGTGGTATACAAGCCAGAATGCAGGCGACAGTAGTAAGCAACAGCGAGCTCAGAAGTCAGTAGTACGTACAGCACATTGCAGGAGTGAGCAGTAATGCAGAGTTCAGGGATCAGTGATGTGGAGTATGAGGCCCTACAAGTAGCAGCCTGTTGTCTTCTCTGTCCATCTCTGTTACTGACTACTTCCAAAATAAAGTTGGTAAGCCTCTGCCTTTTATTATTCTGGTTCAGGGGCGGACTGACAACTCATGGGGCCCCCGGGCAATAGGGGATCATGGGGCCCCTGTGTCCTTGCTCAAACTCAAAAAAGCCTATGAAAAAGGTACCAGGGGCATCTCATGTGGCCCCCTACTGACACCGGGCCCTCGGGCAGTGCCCGAGTTTCCAAATAGTCAGCCCGCCCCTGTTCTGGTCACCAGGGGTAACTGTCGTACCGGCACAAACAACTGCCAAACGTGTGGCTGCAGTATGGCGGGTGCCTCCACCACCTCCTCACCTCCTGTCTGCTGCACAAGCCAGGAGGGCAGATCATTTGATACCAGGTAGATTATACCCGCAGCCCACAGGCCGGGAATGCCATTTGAAAAATGGGGACTAGTCTGGGGACACTTCTTTTATGGGGACAACCTCCTAAAATCAAGGGCTTTACCCAAAAACCAGGGACATCTGGTCACCCCATACTAGTAGCGTGTGTATCCCCAGAATTCTTAGCAAAACTCTAAATCCTTTGGCATGTATAATGACCACACATTGGAATAAGTTGGCATTCTACTTTAAGTCTAGGTTCACACTTATGCGTTTTCCGCTGCGTTTTCCAGAAACGCAGAGCAGTCCGTTAACATGATTTCCTATAGGACAGGTTCACATCTCTGTGTTTTCACCCGGTACGTTTTTTTGGAAGGGACTTTTTTAATGCAAAATGTTGCGTTTTTGGTTCTACAGACTTCAATGGAGATGCTGCAGAAAAGTATGTAGAGCCTTTTGTGACGCGTTTTTGATGCGTTTTTGACCCAAGCAACAAGTTGAGAAAAAAAAATGCAAAACCCATTAAAAATTAGCAAAAAGCACTGCAGAAAGGGAATCACACAAGCCTCAAAGCAGATTTCTGAATGGCTGATTTGGGCTACAGCAGCAGATCACTGCCAGTTGTGCCTTGTCACCAATGGGATGCGGAAACCATCGGGGACCGTCATGTCGCAGAAATGTGGAACTCATTATCTCTATTTAAACAAAAAAAAAAAACCCCTTGCTCTATGCTTCTTATTGCAGAGTGATGAATGTGGTAGACTATATTAATTTTTCTCACTTGCCTCCAGACAATTATCGAGCTGACAGAGGAGAGGGACTCCCTTCACTTCACACCTCCGCCAGCCTTTGCTCAGTCTCCCTCTGGATCGCCGGGGATGAGGAGGACGGAGAGCAGACAGCACCTGTCGGTGGAGCTGGCAGACGCCAAGGCTAAAATACGACGGCTGAGGCAGGAGCTGTAAGTGTCTATTCATCTGCACATGCTGGAATCATCCCCATCCCAGGTGCTTCCCATCCAGACTTCATTTAAAGGACGACTACCAGGCAGACATTGTTCCTTTTACATACGTTGTGGAAAGGATTTTTTATTTCCCTGGTGGTAGAGCATTAAGGTGACATCACCGGTTCAGCCTTTGCGTTATTTATGAATTTATTTTTTATTTAATTTCAGATACCAATATAGCGCAACCTTTTTATTTATCAATATATGCACCTTTTTTAGGTTAGGTTTGTAGCTGTGATTTTTTGATTGGTTTTATATCTTGTGGCGCTACCCTAAAAATGTATTTTTTTTGACTAATATAGCACTGCCGATATTCACAGCGCTTTACATATACGGGCGTACCTCGGTTTACGAATTTGATGCGTTCTGCGGGACTTTTCATATAGCAAAAAATTCGTAAACCGAAAAGCGGTTTCCTATAGGAATGCATTGAAAACCAATTAATCCGCTCCGGATGTCAGAAAAAAGTAAAAAAAAAGTCTTTTATCTGTTTAAAACTCTTTTATGAAGTGCACTTTAAAGGCATAAATACTGTACGGGGACATGATTAAAAACAACCTAATAAATGCATTGAAAGCCAATTAATCCGTTCGGAGGTCAGAAAAAAGTAAAAAAAGTCTTATCTGTTCAAACTCTTTATAAAGTGCACTTTAAAGGCATAAATACTGTACAGGGACATGATAAAAAAAAACCTCATAAATGCATTGAAAGCCAATTAATCCGTCTGGAGGTCAGAAAAAAAAGTAAAAAAAAAAAGTCTATATGTTCAAAACTCTTTATAAAGTGCACTTTAAAGGCATAAATACTGTACAGGGACATGATAAAAAGAAAATTCATAAATGAATTGAAAGCCAATTAATCCACCTGGAGGTTAAAAAAAAAGGTAAAAAAAAAGTCTTATCTGTTCAAACTCTTTATAAAGTGCACTTTAAAGGCATAAATACTGTACAGGGACATGATAAAAAAAAACCATAAATGCATTGAAAGCCAATTAATCCGTCTGGAGGTCAGAAAAAAGTAAAAAAAAAAGTCTATTCAAACTCTTTATAAAGTGCACTTTGCATAAATACTGTACAGGGACATGATAAAAAGAAAAATAAATGAATTGAAAGCCAATTAATCCGTTCCGGAGGTCAGAAAAAAGTAAAAAAAAAAAAGTCTTATCTGTTCAAACTCTTTATAAAGTGCACTTTAAAGGCATAAATACTGCACAGGGACAAGATTAAAAAAATTTTATGAATGCATTGAAAACCAATTAATCCGTTCGTATTGCGAAACAAATTTGTAAACCGAGCCATTATTTTCAATGGATTTTTATTTGTAAACCAAAAATTACATTAACTGAGGCGTGCCTCAAGGAGGTGTACAATCTAAGGTCCCTAACTTACATTCATACATACACATACTAGGGTTAATTATCCTCCCAGCATGTCTGTGGAGATTGGGAGGAAACCCACACAGGCACAGAGAGAACATGCAAACTCCAGGCAGCTGGTGCTGTGGTTGGGATTCAAACCAACGACCCAGCTACTGTTAGGAGGAAGTGCTGACCATTTAGCCACTGCGCTGTGTTGATTTTTATCATTCGCAATGTTAATTAGCCGTTATTATCAGAGGTGTAAGTAGGCGCAAGGTTTAATGCCCTCCCCGAAATTCCACATCACACACATTTTTCAAGACATATTTTCCTGGATGGGGAGAACTCTGAAAACTGTGGATTCATTTCAAAGGCAAATCTAAGAAAGTCTATGGTTTAGTGTGTATGTATGTTTATAAGGGTCCCCGAAATTACAGCCCAGGACAATATTTTATCCCCACTAGGGTCCATGGCATATTCTCAATGTGCAATGATTGAGTATTAAAGTCAGCAGAGACTATCCATGGTCCTTGCCTCTGATCGGACTCTGATAGGGACTCTGGTATAAGGGGAAACTCTGATGGGGACCCTGATGTAAGGGGTGACTCTGATGGGCAACCTAAAGTAAAGGGACAATCTAATGGGGACTCTGTAAGTGGTGACTCTGATGGGGACCCTGATTTAAGGAGGAACTCTGATGGAGACTGTGATGTAAGGGGTGACTCTGATGGTGACTCTGATGGGCACCCTGATGAAAGGGGTGACACTAATGGGGACCCTAATGTAAGGGATGACTTTGATGGGGACCCTGATGTAAGGAAGCACTCTGATGGGGACCCTGATGGAAGCGTTGACTTTTATGGTGACTCTGATGTAAGAGGGAACTCTGATGAGTACCCTGATGGAAGCAGTGACTCTGATGATGACTCTGATATAAGGGAGGTTCTAATGGGGACCCTGATGTAAAGGGTGACACTGATGGGGACCCTGATGTAAGGGAGGACTCTAATGGGGACCCTAATGTAAGGAAGGACTCTGATGGGGACCCTGATGTACGGAGGGATTCTGATGGGGACCCTGATGTAAGGAGTGACTCTGATGGGGACCCTTATGTAAGGAGGGACTCTGATGTAAAGGGTGTTTTTTATGGGGACTTTCATGTAAGAGGGGACTTTGATGGGGAATCTGATGTAAGAGGGGACTTTGATGGGGATTCTGATGTAAGAGGGGACTTTGATGGGGAATCTGATGTAAGAGGGGACTTTGATGGGGATTCTGATGTAAGAGGGGACTTTGATGGGGAATCTGATGTAAGAGGGGACTTTGATGGGGATTCTGATGTAAGAGGGGACTTTGATGGGGATTCTGATGTAAGAGGGGACTTTGATGGGGATTCTGATGTAAGAGGGGACTTTGATGGGGATTCTGATGTAAGAGGGGACTTTGATGGGGATTCTGATGTAAGAGGGGACTTTGATGGGACCCTGATGTAAGAGGGGACTTTGATGGGGACCCTGATGTAAGAGGGGACTTTGATGGGGAATCTGATGTAAGGGGGAGCTCTGATGAGGAGCCTGATGTAAGGGGGGACTCTAATGGTGACTCTGATATAAGGGGGACTCTGGGGACTAGGATGTAAGAGGGGACGCTGATGGGGACCTTGATGTAAAGAGGACTCTGTGGGGGACCCTAATGTAAGGCTCTGAAGGGGATTTTTTTATGTTTGTATGACGTGGCCCTGGCACTGGCGTTTGTAGGCCCCTGGTCTAGTGTGTGTATATGTATGAATGTATGTATAAAAATGTTATCAGTGAAAATATATTTTAAATCTGAACGTTACATTATTTTCCCATATTTTATTCCCAGTGACGTCATCACTGGGTCTCTGTGCTTCCTTATGCAATGCAGGCAGATCATGGCTGGTGGGAGGGGCTTGAAGTTTCTTGAAAACAGCAAGCTGTGTTATACCCTTATGTGTTGCTGAAACTCCATAACGGAAAGAACTGAAAATCAATGAATGAAAGGCGTGAGTCAGGGAGAGTCAGCCTGGGGAGGAAAGCACTGGTAGATTCAGACAGGAAATGAGGCAGCGCTCTATCTGATTTGCTACAGCTTCTAATGCACACGGTGAGAAGCTCACAGTGTGCAGTGATATCAGAGTAATGTCAGTCCAGGGGAGGAGCCGCTACAACTGAAGGTACCGACTGAAGGGCAGGCCGAAGTTTCACTACCTGATGTAAACATAGGTATTATGGATCAACTAATCTGCACTCTGATAGAAATATGGGACAGCGAGTATGAGAATCGTGGAGAGAAACGTCAGAATTATTTTCATCTAAAGCTAAAAATAAATATCGCTGACAACGACTTACTGACAAATGATAAATCATTATATTGTTTTCATGTTGTCTTTTTTCTTGAACTCTTTCTTGTTTTCCCCGTGGTAGACTTGTCACCGGCAGTCGGCTCGGCATCTGTCAGATCTCTTCCTCTTGTGAAGACGTTCCCGGGATGTTTTGTCGGGTTTTTTGTTATTTTTTAGATGGAATGCTCTTGAGGTTCTCCAAGGCTTTGCTGAGCAGTCCCAACGATCTGCTGGGTGTAGATGGGACAGGGGAATGTATAGTTACATAGTTAGTCTGGCTGAAAAAAGACAAAAGTCCATCCAGTTCAACCATTAAAAAAAAAATGTTATAATTCTACACCCAGAGGTGATCCAGAGGAAGGCAAAAAAAAAAAACAGCAAACCATAAACCAATTTGCTTCTGAAGGGGAAAAAATTCCTTCCTGATCCCCCCGAGAGGCAATCGGATATTCCCTGGATCAACTTTACCTATAAATGTTATATCCAGATATATTCTGTGTATCCAAGAAAGAATCCAGGACTTTTTTAAAGCAATCCACTGAGCTGGGCAGAACCAACTCTTGAGGGAGTCTATTCCACATTCTCACAGCTCTTACTGTGAAGAAACCTTTCCGTGTTTGGAGATTACATTTCTTTTCCTCCAGATGTAAAGAGTGCCTCCTTGTCCTCTGTGATGACCTCAGGGTGAATAACTCTACACCGAGTTCACTATATGAACCACTGATGTATTTATACATGGAGTGGGAAAAAAATTCCTTCCTGATCCCCCGAGAGGCAATTGGATATTCCCTGGATCAACTTTACCTATAAATGTTATGCAGGCCATAGACGGGTCAGAAATCGGCCAATTTTTCGGCCGAAAAAAAAATCGGCCGATTTTCGCACCGTTAGTGGGTTAATTGGTCGGCCATTTTTCAGGGTTTTGGCACATTTTTTTTATGGGTAAAGTTGGACAAAAATCGGCCAATTTTCCCGGCAATGATGGGCAAATCGGCCGATTGTTTTACCGATAAAAAATCTGTGCATGAGCCGTGACCTGCAAGAAGAAGAAAAAGAAGTAGAAGAAGAAGAAAAAAAAGAGGAGAAAGAAGTAGAATAAGAAAAAGAACAAGAAGAATAAGAATTCTAGTCCCCTATTATTTTTGACATAAAAAGTATTGCGGTTGCAACAATGTATCTATTTGTATCCAAATAAAAACATTTGTATCCAAAATGGATACAAATAGATACAAT